CTGGAATGACATCTGTAGTTTAGATGCACCTTCTCAAATACTAACTTGTATTCAAATGCCATACTGAGAGTCAAGGCCCACCTGATGACATCCTTTGATGGATGTTATTACGTTATCTACCTCACCCACCCATGATACTTATTGATTCTTAATGAAAATTCTGTTTTTCTTCAAAACACGCTGTTTCGCTCAATTTCATGTAATATCAATTAGCCATATAAAGGAAAACTTTGCTCTCCTCTTCGTAATATCTAGTGATTCGGTTAATAATGTCAAAGCTTGCCGACGAGTGAAAACAACGTAAGAATCCCCAGAATAAGTAAAATATTTGCTTGTAGCTAAGGGAAAAAAGGTTGTTATAAAAACAATTCAACCAAGTAACGGTGTTTCGAGAACTTTGGCATGAAAATTCAGTATCCCAGTTTTCAGATAGTTACTTTGTCAACACGAAGGTTGGATGACAGCGCTATCCGACGGATAAATCTTWATTCAGTGGATAAATCGATGCTGTTATTCAATAAAATTATCCACTGGATAAGGATTTATCCATCGAATAGTGCTATCCACCCCTCGTAAATCCGGGCCCAGGTAGTTAATTTTTAATTGCGTAATGTWAAAGTTTTTAAACTTTATCACACACTACTCTAGGTTAGTTCTTTATGATAATTTTGGGCAAAAATTGTACAACACTTGTTCAATAACGCTCGCTAGAGAGGGTGTGGATGGGGTTTAACAGTTAACTGACAATTGGCCTAAACATTAGTAGTTAACAGTTAATTGATATTTCATTATTTTAGTTAATATTATGATGGTCATCGCAAGTAAGATTATTATCAGTTAACTAAACTTGGCCTGAAGATTAGTAGTTGAAGTACAAGAAAAGGATCTTGATCCACCCATATCCTGAACTCCTTGCCTGCTGTCACTGCTAGGGGAGGTRACAACTCAGGGAATGTAAGTTCTGGCTCCATGTTGGTCACACCTGGTAACTGGTATATTAGGAAACCGAACCGAGTGAAGGTCAGTGGGAAGTCAGGTGGAGGACTGATTCTATTGTTGCCGGCATCAGTGATGTGTAAATTAAGATCTTTATTGTTCCTTCTATAGGTAGTTCCCCAGTAGGCTTTGGTGTCTCCATTTGACCACACGATATTCCACCTCCAGACACATAAACAAGTTTGAAGTTCAAGACATGGCAGGCAACTGGAATAGTAAACCTTCCGAACTTATCATCTTTTGCTCCAATACACACTGCAGTACCGACTCTGAGCCATTCTACGATGCAATAAAATTAAGCTATCATTTTTTGATGACAGACTAACTGGTTAGTTCTAGAGGAGCTTTAGTAGTAGGAAGAATAGTGATCCACTCAGGCGGCTCGGACGTAAAACAAAATCGACTTGAACCGCTATCCGCCCTACTACTACAACATTCTTTAATGTGTAAAAGTGTATTACAATCAGTTTTGGACTACCATTTTCCACAACTATTTCTTCTTCTCCTCGATTTGGGATCGCTTCCGATGGGAACAGAGGTATAAATCTAKTCAAATCAAAACAAAAAATAGGAGAAAAGGGGGTAATGTCTATTTCGTCCCACGCACCTCTGTTGCAAGCTCGAAAATGCATGGGACAGCAATTTCTTGCCCGATATTTCCATATAGGTCTACGGTCTACTGAGGTCTACTTGACTTACTAACTTATGCAAATTTGTACAATTTCTTTCAAAGCTATTCACGGATATAAGG